AAAATGCCTCAAACATTTACAAGGAGGAGAACATGAAGACAGTGCAACAATGGAGGAACCTAATGCACTTCTCTGGAAACTGAACAGACGTGGAGATGAATGTGTACCACGAAAAGCAAGGCACCGGTTTACTGGATGTTCTGCACACGTTGTAGACTTCATATCAGAGCTGGGGTCTTTTTCTTTTTCTCTTTTTTAAACGTCTGATTCAGTCAGTTTGAACCGAAAATAGTAAATTGATAGCATTCGTTCTCAGTTATAGATACGTTTGGATACGACAGCCTCTTCATGCAAAATATATTTAAATATCTGAAGGAAAGTAAAAAGTGACCCCCCGGCCCGGTTGGTATGTTCTGATGGTTGATATGGGTCTGCAGAGTTCACTGAGGTACTGCCAGCTGAAGGTCACCGCTGAGGCTTTGTGGGTGCATCTCGTGGTTCCGTCCCGAATCTGGGAGAGAACCGGTTTGGGCCAGTGTTATACTTTCTGCATCTGCGAGTACACGACAGTACGAGGGATGTAACTTTCATCCAAGTGTGTTGGAGTCCACGTGGACGTCTGAGCAGCGACGACTGTACAGGAGCACTAACGCACATGCTCCAAATACAATGACCTACGTAGGCAACGTGTCCTCTGGACGGACTAGAAAGCATCATTAGGAACAACTACGCATCTGCCAGCTCCAAAGTTTCATTTTGATTCTGCCTATCGGTTCCCAGACAGATGTCAGTATCGTTTCTATCGCTATCTGTCTGCGTCTTGATGCGTTCGTCTCAATAAATCATGAGCTTTATTCTCACTTAATGAGCAGCACAGATTGTGTGATCGTTTCGTAACAATTGCGTTCATGCTGCTTCAAAATGCTTCACAAGGATGGAGCTGAACTCCACCGTCCTGACAGGGAAGGAACCGAAGTAAACATGGAAATAAAAAAACAGGAAATACAAAAGACGTCACTGTGTCTGGCAGTCAGGTTCTAACCCTCATGAAGGGCAGCAGTAGCAGATGAAGTCCTTCACCCAAGTACTAAAACCACACACAAGTCCTGCAGCGATGACGTTACTGGAACAGTTTGTCCCCCTTGCCGGTGCATCATTAGATTATTATGACTCATGCATTAATGTAAAAGCACGAGTTCACTGCTGTGGCAACTCAAAGAAGTGGAATCGATAAGCAGAATCAGAAAACACCAACGATTCTCAGCTGTGGTCTTCACAAACCCGTCTGTAAACGCTCATGCAGCCGCTACGCTACAGGGGGCGCTAGTGTTCATGCTGGAGTACGTAGACACTGACTACAAAGTACTGTAGTATCATTTAGGTGAGGCGTCCACAGCTGTACACGTGTGCATCCGCAAGAGAGTATAATCAAGGCCTTGATCTCAGCCGACTCTGCACAATGCAGCAGGACGGAGGAGCCGGCGGTCAGTCGTCTCCATGTCACTGCTCAACAGATGCTCTGTTCACGATACATTCTGCAGCAAGCGAAAGTAACCTCCCGTTAGACTGTATGGAAAAAAACACAAACGCTGACTGTGATTGAAATAAGATCTCATGTAAAAACAGGACGGCAAAAAGCCGGACGCAGTACAAAGTTAAATCTCAGAACATTTCTTTCAGTGTATCTGTTTCTGAACCAAAACAAAGTGCTTCGCGAGGTCACGCCTGTCCGGACAAAATATCAAACTGTTTTTTTTTAAAACCAGGAAATGACATTCAAGATGCGTTTGGATCCACGGCTGTGATCAGCTGGAGAACCAACCGATGCAGAACTAATCTGTAGCGAAGATGCTCCTCGGGCCGGCGGACATGTTTCCTCCCTGCTGGCATTCTCATCTGTACATGTGCGTATAGAGAACATGCATACATGTGCTTCCAACATGTCGAGGAATTTAAAAATAAGACCTCCACCTAATCTGGGTTGAACTAAAATGAATGGACCAGTGTTGCATGTTTGATCTGTTCACTACATGACGGGTGGGAGGGCTAACGTCACGGACGGTCTACTCTTGAATCATGTTTCTAGTGCTGTGTGCAGGACTCCAGACTGACCTCAGCACACGACTGTGTTCTAAATCTCCATCCCTTTTCTTTTCCTTTGCTGCATGCTAATGAAAAGTTGTCATTGCTACCCTAGTTTTGCATCGATTTAAGACTCACAACGGCTTCAGGTTTAATATTTGCAAAATATATGAATGTTGTCACCAGTCTTTTTACTGGAGGTTGTCTTGATGAACCAAACTCCTAACCTGCTAAATTTCTGCACATCGATAGACGCCACAGTTTACCGTTGCAGGCGACACTAGATCAAAAAATTACTCTGAAAACAGTGACATAAGGCGTTCTAATGTCAGATTTACCCAAGAAAACAAGAGGTTTTCTGTGTTGTCATCTAATTTTGCAGCCCTGGTGTTGCGCTAGCCGTTGTTATTTAGTTTAGTCGGCCTCTCTCTGCCTGTACCTGCACTCTTTATCATCAGGATTGACGGAGGTTTAAAACAATCGGCTCTTGACAATTAATTATTTCATGGTAGGGAGATGCAGACTTACTGAGACGTTCCACCATTGTGGCTAATGCTAATGCTACCTGCACTGGTCAGAGGGGAACCAACCAAATCAGCCAAATGATCATCATACACTCAGAAATGGTTGCAGTCTGGAGCCCTGATATGTATTTCAGTCCCTATTGTTTCTGGTCCTCGATGTCTTTCAGCTGCCTCTCATCCCACCGACAGACCATAACTCCTCCATCTTGGACTGCAGCTGGTGATGTCTGGAGGCTCAGACCAACCAGAAGCTGCAGCAGGCGGAGGACTCACAGAATGAGATGTCGTAAAGCCGATCTTATGACGAGATGGTCGGCTGTTGTTGACTACCAGCTGTAGTCCAAGACTGGAGGTGGAGAGGCGGCCGAACGACATCAACAAACAGCCACAAACTCTTAGCTGCAGTTTGTGAAGAAGCGTCAAACCAGCCGAGTACGAATCACTACCTCATAATAACGTCAGAGATTTAAGAGTCGGGTCTTTAGTCTTGAGGGGCTTTGTATCCCGGTATACGCAAACAATCACACGACTTCGACTAAATCTGTGGAGAGAATTGTGACTTGGCTCGTTATTAACATCACACGATGCGTTTCGGAAACCTGGAAGTATCGAATCAGACGCTGTCGACGGTACAAAAAGTAAATCTGTTAGCAGACTCTTCATGTTTGCTCGTTTCAAGTAACTTCTTGTGCTGCTGTAACGTTGGTTTTCGAGCCTCTTTGCACATGAGGCGACGGTTCAGACTCTTCAAAGTGTTGATAGCAAGCGTATTACAAACAGTAGGTGGGTGTCAGTGCACCAAGAATGTATTTCATACACCTAAAACTGTCTACATCAGTTGTTGTACTTTGAATATTTTCACGGCTTTACCTTTCTCCCGCCCTGTCCAACGGGGAGCTGAAGCTTTTACATGACTCTGATTAAAACCTCCAGACCGTTGACCAGAACAGGACTTTTACAACAATGGCAGTAGATGAAGAAGCATTCGTGTCTCTTAAACGGCATCACAGGTCCTACTTACGTTAATGTGTCTCAGTACTGTCATTAAAAATACGTAAAAGTATGTAAAAATGTCACCTGTGGCTGCTGTAGTTGTCTGAGATGCTCCGACTACAACTTACTGTGTGTAATTTTGATTAATTGGCTGATTACTTTCTATTAGTCCCCTGTGTGGTTTGTAACAATAGAGAGAAATGCCGTCACAATTAGTTGTTAGGGTCGTTCAATTAATAGCAAAACATTTCGTAGCCTAATTATTTGTGTTGTTAAAGCTGTCAGATAAAAGCATGGAAGTCAGAATATTTCCCAAAATAAAAGTACACAGTGTAAAGTACAAGTACCTCAAACAGGCACTTACTGGAATACCGTTCTGCCGCTGGTTGTTGGTCGGCTGCTGTGCGACACCAACAAAAACTAACAGATTGAGGTAACAGGAGGTTGTGTTTCTGGAGGTAAAATCACTGTTTTTATAAATGAAGTCTGGTGGTTTTGAAGGACAGTGACGTAAAAGCCTCGGCTCCATCTGACGGCAAGAGGAAGCTGCTGTCAAAACATTAATTTTACATCGAAATATCCCTTTAAAATGCGTAACTTATGTCCGCTGTGACTGAAGTTTGCTTTAGAAGTCTGCTAATTGATTTACTGCACACACAAAGAAAAGGAACGGACGCCTGACGGTGTGGAAAGAATCCGTAAAAATCTAAAATCGCATCGTCTCTCAGAGTTTGGCATGACCAACCAAAGCCGCCAGTTTGACTTGTAGTTCAGGATTCATATGATTTAAAGATCTGGTCTGGTGGTGGATGCAGAGCATGTTTGGCAACGGTGAGGTAACATTCATGTCAGTGTGGAAGCCGGTCACGTCACGGCAGAGACAGAAATACCTGTGCAGCAGATGTGAGTGGTGTTCTCAAAGGGGGGCTTCCATCAGTGTCGGCTCGGTTTCCACGCCTTCGAGTGTAAACTGTACCTTGTAAATCTCTGTACCTTTGACTGAAAACATGCAGTTCGTCATGCGGTGTGTCGAGCTCACGTCCTACCCGGCCTTCTCTCAGGGGCCGCGCTTCTTATCGAAGGTTTTTTTTGGGCGTCTGCGTTTTTCAATCTTTAATCTCAGATTTGTCAATCCTACTTCAAAACAAAGAACAACTCATGCAACGATATGCCGTATGTGATCAGCCTGTATGAAAATACTGTGATTCTTATCAAATGGATCAACAAGAAAATAAACAAACAAACAAAAAAAAAAGAAGGACCTCGTGTTTCAGTCCCACCCTCCAAAAAGGATAAAAACCGTCAGTGAGGTGAGATTTGTGTGCCTTACGAACATGTAGCCGGGCTCTATTTTAGCCGTACGTGCGGCATGTTCAGCAGTTCGGTGCTGCCGGCAGAGGGGGAGGACGTTTGGCCGCTGGCCAGGCTACGGTTCGAGCCCCGGGACCCCGCCCCAGCTCTGCCCCCTGTCCTCAGGAGCTCCGAGGTGTAGGTGTGGGCGTCTGTAGTCCCCTGTGACAGGAAGTCAAACCCCTGCGCCTCTATGTCCCTGTCACTGATAAAGAGGTCCTCCTCGCCCCAGCCTCCACCTCCACCGCTCCGGCCTGTGCTGCCTCCCCCGGGGTCTTGGCTACAGCTGTGGAAGCCGATGGGGGAGTCGCTGCTCGTGCTGGGGCTGGGGGACGACAGGCTGTGGCGGGCGTCGTGGACGTTCCCCGGTGCTGCCTGCATCAGGTCCTGCACCGACATGGACTTGCCCAGTCCTCGGTCCATCTGGATGGGACCCGGGCAGCAGCCCAGAGCCGGCGGCACCAGAGGCTCCAGCTCCAGGCTCATGTGTCTCCTCCAGGAACCCTCCTCCTTCGCACTAAGCCTGCCGTTGCCTTTGTCCTGTAGCTGCTGCCCCAGTCTGCCCAACCCCAACCCGAGACCGAGGTCCTCCCTGACGCCGCTGTCCTCCATCTGCGTCCCTAAACCTCCACAGAAGTCCTCCATGTCAGGGGAGGCTTCTGTGGACGTCGCTCGCACCATGTTGCCTGGACCACTGCTCCGGCTGGGAGGCGGCGGCGGCGGAAGCCTCGCCAGAAGAGGAAACCCTCCATCTCCGACTCCTCGGCCCCCAGAACTGCTGACGCTGTTCGGGGTGAGGATGGGTGGAGAGCTTCCCACCGCCTCGTCGGTGACACTCTCAGGTGTGGTGGCCTGAGCCTGGGTGTGGTGATGAGGATGGTGGTGGTGGTGGTGATGGTGATGGTGGTGATGAGGCAGCGGCGACGGGCTGAAAGAGGAGGACGGGAGGCCAGAGGGGGGTGTGGAGGAGGAGGCGTTGAGGTTGAGGTTGAGCTCGTTGGGGGCAGCCAGGATGAGATGGAGTCCGCCCTGGGGGAGGTGGGAGTTGGTGGAGGAGCGAGTGACGAAGCCGCCCGGGGGAGGCGCTCCGCCGCCGACCTGGGGGGAGCAGGGCAGGTCCTTACTGAAGACGGAGGAGTTGTAGTCGGAGGTCTGCTCCAGCTCGAAGAGGGGGAGGGAGGAGAGCGTGAGGGCCGAGGACGAGCCTTTACGCAAAACCTGACGATAGATGTCGAGCAGCGAGTCGAGCTTTGACTCGATCGACTGGACCTGTGAGGAGAGAGAAGGAGGAAAGTGAGACGTGGAGTCACAGAAATTAGACCAAACACGACACTGAAGATAGAATCTACCGTCACACTTTAATCAGCATCCAACCCACTCTTCCTCATTTTCCCAAAGAGGGGCGCCAAAGTTTTTAAAATCTACACCTTCAACAAACAAAGAGGCTTTCACGTAGGACACTGCTTCCACTCCGATGCAAGCTACTTATTATTTACGGTCTGCCTATTCCTAGATTCTTGTAGATTAGCTCTGTTAGCTGGTTGTGCCACCAGTTGGTTTGTGATAAACACCACAGTGACCAGAGGACGGCGTCCCTTCTTACCTGAGCTTTATGGGTGTTTAGCTCGTTAAGGAGCGCCGTGATAGAGACATGAAGCTTTTCAGGTAAGTGAACAGGTGTTGAATTAGGCTACGATTAGGTAGGACAACAATCATACGTCTTAGTAGAATAGCTAACGTCCATTTTTGCAGTTTTTTTTCTTCAAATTTCTACGTGATACCAGATGTAAACAAAGAATTGGGCAAAGTTTGATAAAGTTTTTTGCTTCAAAATTGGCATAATCAGCCTTGATCCTGATTTAGTGAAAAACAAAAGATGAATTTCTTTATTCATCTTACAAAAACTGAAAAAAATAATAGTTTTGCGTGCCAACAATACTAGACATAAAATCGTTCACGCTATAGATATTTTACTGACTTGTTTTCTAATTTGTTTATACTTAAATTGTGGTCACATGACTTATCTATTTGTTTCTTTACAGAATCTTGTTGGAGCAAATCGTTCAATTCGGATTAATTTTCAAACGGCTGTACAGTATTGTGATTCTAAGCTTTGATTTAGTTCATTTTCCAGACTAACTGCACACCACAGATGAGAAATCTTTCTGTTTCTACAGCTTCTGGCTTTGATAAAGGTATTTTTGAAAGGGTTTTCTTTTATCTTTTATTGAGACAACATCCCTTGTTTCGAACCAGTCGCCCAGTTTTGAGGTTCAGAGAGTTAAAAATGTTCTGCTATTGTGATGGAGTTCGGATCAAAACAGTGAGGAAAAGAATCGAGGAGGCAGCCGACTGTCTCGGCTGACACAGTTCAGCAGAAACCTCACGTTTCCACTCAGCATTTTAAAACAAAAGTCCGAACACAGACCTGCCGCTCCACCTTGCAGACGCGACCCAACATGCTCACGTCCTCCAGCAAGTCTCCATCCGACAGCAGCTTCTCTCGAATCTTCTTATCCAGAGGGATCTGGCCCTTCCCGAGGATCTGATCCACCCTGGAACAGATGCAAGCAAACAGTGAGGCGAGCAGAAGAAAAAGCAGAAATCCACGAGGCAGGAAAGGAAACAGCGACACAAGAACAGATGAGCTCGTTTTCTTTTCAAATGCAGGCACATGAGAGGATTAACCCCTCGCTGGATTTGACAAATACTTTATGTTTATTGAGAAAACGCTGCAACAAAATCTGTGATTCAAGATTTTCCAGATGCGTTGGTTTGAGGTGCATTATTCTAACTCCCTTGTTTCTTATGAGGTTCAGTAGAATCTGGTGAACACAGTCAGTTAAAGTCAACAGAACCACAGTAGCGTCGTGCAGTGATCAGGCCACGTCCAGCAGTGGCGTTAAAGCCTCGATAAGATCCCCCGAACAACACTGAGCTCTCCGTTAATTTGTGTTTTTATTTTTGTGTGCGCGCTTTGGTTCAGTCACAACATGTTAATAAAACAAAATGTGTTTTGCAGGTCAGATTTCCAGCAAGTTAGCAAAACAAAATGCAAACTAATGCAACAGCTGTTAAAGGTAGAGTCGGTTTATGGAGATCAGCAGCTGCAAATGAACGCAGGTCGATCCTCAAAAGAACAAAAACCGCAGAGAAGTGGAGTAAAGTTTTCTATTTCTGTTGTTTAAGTACATTGATGGTTACCATTTCTTCTTTATTATTGTATGTTAAAGAGCTCACATTGTGCACAGGTTTAGGTTTCTATTTGCTTAAACGCTTCAATGTTTGAAAAACAAGTTTGCAGACCTTTCCACCAACATAAAACACATTAAAAAGCAGAATATGGGATCTTCAGAGTCATACGCTTCATGCAGGTCAGGAAACATCTGCTAAGACGGTGTTGTTATTTCTAGTGTGGTGGAAAAATTTGTCATTAAAAAAGAAAAAGAGAAAAAAGGTGAGATGAAAAACAACAGTTGGAATCCAATCAGCTCGATTTCATTAAAACAGAAAGAAGCAAACAAACACGAAGAGATTCTGACATTAATTTACTTTTTTCGTCGCAATTCTTAGCTGATGACATGAATATTTATGTTAGACTTGTGTTAGAGAGTTGCATTAACATTTCTCTCCTTTTTCTTTTTTTTGTGCAATATTTCAACCAAAAAAGCCAGAAGGAGGAGCTTAGAGGTCACACTTAATTTTCTCTGTGCGATCAGCTTCACCAGCACCACAGTAAACTGCATTTCCACACGTGGACAGCAGGGGTCAGTGTTACCCCGGCAACGGCAGCCGGCGGTTCTGTGTCTGTATTGCTGAAGATGAGGATCGATCCCAAACCCAGAGCCAACATACGGAGGAGCGTCGTCGGTGTTCGGTTAAGTTCTGACGTCACGTTCAGGACAGAAGTTTGTGGATCTGATCAGTGAGTGTGAGTCCCAGTCAGAGGACTACAGGACCTCGTTTGTCAAACCGTGTGAATTAAGAGTTTATAAATATGTAAATCCAGCAATACCCTGATAAACCCTGAACAGGAAGAGAAGCTTGTGGGAAGGAAAACGTTGGACCCAAGTCACACAGTTTAAATGCAACGCTAGCGAATACTAACGAACTTCTGACTTTGAAGAAAGTAATAAAAAATCTCTCTCATTGTTCTGGTGTTTAGCAAATAGAAATAATGTTGGTAAACCTAGCTGACCTCAAACAGGAAATGTTTAGTCTTATTTAATGTTCGACAGTGAGAAAATAAAAAAAGGTGTGTCTGCTAAAGTTCTGGTTTCAGCTGCACGTGAACCCGCGAACACGGATCAGTGAAGTCCGGTCCTACCTGGTCTGCAGGCTCTTGATGCGACACAGCATGTCCAGGTGACCGGCCGAGTACTGCTCGATCACGTCCTTCACGTCGTACGGACGCAGCGTCTCCTTGAACTTCTTCTTGGCTACGTGGAACTTCATTATCCTGCAGAAACAGAAGGTACAATACATTTAAAAAAGCAGAATATGGGCTCTTTAAAGTCGCCTGTCAGGATATATCTGCGAATACAGAACTTTTATTAGTGTGGTGCAAGAAAATTTTGTCACATTTTTAATAAAACATAATCAGAAAGTTTGAGGATTTAGAAACCATTAATAAAAACAGAAGAAAGAAAACAAACACTGAGAGATTCTGGCAGTAATGGACTGTTTGTAATCCATTTTTTTGTATAAGTTTTTGCATAAAACTAGTATATAAAAACAAGAACTTCATTATCCTAAAACAGAGAAGTTCCCACATGAGCCAGGAGGGGGAGCTGTGACCCAGCAGCCACATTAGACGGCTAATGAAAACAAATCACAGCCCCCTTTTTTTTTTGTGTTTTTCTACCTTCTGAAGCTGCTTTAAAGGCGTCACATTCGGGCCAGCTACCGGTTCTGAACACCCAGAACACCTGAACAATCACTTTGCCCGGGCCTTAAGGAAACATCCGGCCGCAGGCTTCAGCAGCGTAAAACAATCCGGACCTCGCTCTGGACGTACGCACCTGTGGAGCCTCCAGGCCGAATTCTGGGGAATTCAGGGGACGGACGGCAATGAAACCCTAGCCTAGCGGAGGCGAGACGACGAGGAGGTGGCACGTGGGAAGTTTAGGTTCACTTTACTGACGATGCTTTTGCACTTTTACGTGGTACTCCTATTAAAGTGTACCAGATTCCGAGTGCAATACTTTTACTTGTATTTAGCTTATTTCACATTTTGAACACACCTAGTGGACGTTTCTACATTAAAAAGTCTAAATTAGATTCAAAAACAATGTAAACCTCTGCAACCCAACCAGTGTCCGGGTGTTCTTTATTTATTTTTGTTCTTTTGTCACATTCCACACATAAAAAGTTGGATTTCTTTGATTATTTAGTTTTGAAAAACAGCGGTGTCAATGTTTTTCCAAGTGCCTACAGGTCTCTGAATTTATGTCGCGTTACTTTTGGTCACAGCGGAGTCGTGATCGGCTGCAAGGTACACACAAAAACGCTGAATTTTTTTTTGTTTTTTACGTAATCTAAGTACTGCAAATGATTTATTTCTGGTGTTTTTTAGTGATTTTGATGCAATATTTTGACTTTAAGAACAGTTGTAAAGTTGAAAATCTAACTTGATGTTGTGTTTTTACAGCCTCTGGTGTCATTTTGAGATTTTCACAGGGTCCAATGTTGGCTGGATTTGAGTTCATTAAAACAAATTTAAAGAGTCGCTTCCTGCTGGTTCAACACACGTCCGACAGGTCGTCTTCCACGGCCAACGCTGTGTCCTTGTCATCACCTTACGTAGCTTTACAGCGTTAATGCTCCCACTAACCAAATTTCCTGTCCGTGAACACCGACGGGATCTAAAAATAAGCGAAATAAAAGTCTTCCGGTCACTTTAATCCTCAGGAGGACGGCGGTGGGCCGCAGTCGGGGGGCTGGTTACAGGCGGTAAAAACAGAATTAGCTGGATTGGAGGAGTTATTTCCTTCGTCTCACCTGACAGCTCTGATGACGGACTTGACCGAGGGCAGCAAATCCTCCACCGAGATCTCGCAGTGACATCCTTTGTCGTCGAAACCGTCCTCGGCCGCCACGTTGGAGTCGGCTGTACGGAGAGAGGAGGGTTATTCATGTTGTCTGAACACAAACCACAGACTCCAGTGAGCTAAACGCCACTAAACATTTTACCAAAGTCCAAAACAATGGACTCTTGTTAGCTTGTGTTAGCGCCTCTCGAGCTCAGTTATGTCCTTTTAGCTAAGGCTAGCTCCTGTTAGCTCCACATAACTCCTGTTTGCTCCTTATAGGTCCTGTTTGCTTTTTTTTCCTCCCTAGCCATACATAGCCTCCATTAGCTCCCATTCGCTAAAGAACGCTAGCCTATGTTAGATGGATCTTGTTAGCTACTCTCGACTACACATAGCTCCTGTTAGCTCTTCGTGGCTTCTGTTAAATCTTATTAGCTCCTGTTAGCTCCACATAACTCCTGTTTGCTCCTTATATGTCCTGTTAGCTTTTTTACCCCTAGCCACACATAGCCTCCATTAGCTCTCATTAGCTAAAGAAAGCTAGCCTATGTTCGATGGATCTTGACTACACATAGCTCCTGTTAGCTCTTCGTGGCTTCTGTTAACTCTTTTTAGCTTCTGTTAGGTCCAGTTGACTACATTTGGTATTTTTACCTTCAGTTGTCGGTCTGTTTTTGTTAGCATGTAGCTAACTTCCATTAGCTCCAGATACCTTATGCTAGCTGATGATGACTTTTGTTAGTTCTTATTAGCGAAGGAAAGCTCCAATAAGCTTCAGTTAGCTCATTTGTGCATCAGATATGTTCTATTAGTTCACAATAGCTATTAGCTCAAGCCAGCTCTGGTTATCTCTTATCTCCGATTAGCTTCTGTTGGTTTTGTTACTGCTTAGCTCCAGTTAGCACCAGATGATAGCTTATGATATCGGTTGAAGGCTTTTGTTAGCTCCTATTAGCTGAAAAGGCTCTCATTAGCTTCAGCAATCTTCTTTAGTTTAACTCCCAATGCCTCCTGTTATCGCAGATTAGCTCCAGTTAGCATCCTTGAGCTCCACATTGCTACTGCTAGGTCCCAATGGCCCCAATGTTGGATCCTAATAACTAAAGCAAGCTCCAATTAGCCCCATTTAGCCAATTTACGCTTCAGGTGTTTTCTTTTACTGCCTGATAGCTCTTGTTAGCTCCTCTTAGCTCCTATTGGCTCCAGCTAGCTCGGGTTGTCTCCTTTATTGCTTTTTATCTCTAGCTGGCTTGTGTTAGCTCCTGTTACCTTCTATCAGCTTCCATTGGTCCAGTTAGCACCTGTTAGCTATAGATAGTTCATGTTAGCTCCTGCTAGCACCTATTAGCAACAGAAAGCTTTTATTTGCACGAGGGAGCTACTTTAGTTTAACTGCCAATGCCTCCTGTTGGCGTCTGATAGCTCTTGTTAGCTTTTATTAGCTTCCATTGGTCCAGTTAGCACCTGTTAGCTATAGACAGTTCATGTTAGCTCCTGCTAGCACCTATTAGCAACAGAAAGCTTTTATTTGCACGACGGAGCTACTTTAGTTTAACTGCCAATGCCTCCTGTTGGCACCTGATAGCTCCTGTTAGCTTCTATTAGCTTCCATTGGTCCACTTAGCACCTGTTAGCTATAGATAGTTCATGCTAGCTCCTGCTAGCATCTATTAGCAACAGAAAGCTTTTATTTGCACGAGTGAGCTACTTTAGTTTAACTGCCAATGCCTCCTGTTAGCTCCTGTTAGCTTAAGGATGCTTCAGTTAGCTTCAGATAGCTTTTGTAAACTCCTGCTCACCCCTGTTAGCTCAAGTTGGAGCTCATTAGCGCCTGTTTTCACCTAGTTGGGTCCAGTTAGCTCTGGTTATTAGCTGCAGTAAGCACCTGTTAATTAGCTTGTTGTGCAAACATGTTAAAATGCACAATGCAATTTCACATTACACACCATTACTGACTCTGACTAATTACACCGTTAGGTAATAATTAACATTTATTTGATCAGCCTAAGAAACCTGGATCATCTTACTGCAGAAGTCTGGAGTTGTTTCTTAATTCTGCGGTAAAGTTTTGGGGTTAGAAGCCTGATTAAGTGAACTGAAGGTGAAAGAAAACCTGCGGAGTCACAGTAAAGAAGCAGATGAATAACTAACAGTGCAACAGCTGTTTGTGGACCTGCTGAGGATTTCAACGGAGGGTTACGGTGCCGAGTTCAGCCGCTTGTTGTGTTTAATCACATGTTAAAAAATGACCTCAGGTAAGAACCACTTAGTGGCTCCGCTGGAAGTCAAACCTGCCGGAGCTGATTAATGATTTGCTCCATTAAGAAACGTTCCACTAAAACAACTTCTTGTTCTAATTAAGCTGTAATGACATGCAAATGCTTCCCATCCTCTAACATGTCAGTGAGTAATCAGACGCAGCGCCGCTAGCCGTCCAGCCAGTTAGGGTTCTGGCTGGTTTGGCTGTCGACTGCTCGGCACCGGCAGCCAGCTGGACGCTCCGACGGCCCATATGGCCGCTTCCATCCATCCATCAGTCCACCCACAAACACCAACTGGCTGCTGCCCAGGACGGCCTGCCAGGTCGGCACCGCTCGGCCAGAGGAAGCAGCACAGCAGCCATTAGCATTCCTGCACTCGGCTGCCTGAATTAGTGGGTAAAACCAGCTCTGGTGGGTTGGACGGTCGGCCAAGAAGAGTCAGGCAGCCGGTTAAAGGAGCAGTCTGGGTCTGGGGGAACTGCTTTCTCTTTTCTGTTCACAGTCTGATGAGCAGATGGACTCTGGGGCCAAGTTCTGACACTTGCATTTTAATAATAACCTTTAAATTGGATTAATGGGGTGTAATATTGTAGCTTCTTAGGATTCAGATTGAAGTGATAAATTAATGTATTAACAAATTAATATTTAAGTTATTACATATGTTTTACTTTCTATGCAATATTGTTTCCATCTTATTTAGATTAGTCTTAATTAATAGAGTCTTAACATTTAAATTAGTCTGGTTCATTTATATTTACATGTGATTTTCTAGGGTTTTAGTTTTCATTTAAATTAGGTACATTTATATGATATATAATATTATTGGGGCTTCACTGTACTATTTAAATTAGACAAATAAATTGATATTATATCTAATATTGTATGGTCTTAAAAGGTTAATTATTTCGCCAAATTTATATAATAAATAATATTGTAGAGTCCTAATTTTATATCTTAAATCTTATTTGAATTAGGGAAAATTCTACATTATATTGTACTGGTTTAATATTAGTTATTGAATCAATAAATAATATTGTTGGGTCTTAAATATAATATATAACTTAGTCTGTCAAACTTGTATTAAACAAAATATTGTCGGGTCTTAATATTTATATGAGGTAAATTTGTATAATAACAAAGAATGTAGCATCTTAAACTTAGTATTTAAATCCTTTAGCTAAATATGTATGATAAATAATACTGTAGAGTCTTAAGCCTACTGTCTAAATTAATCAGGTGAATTTGTGTTAAAAGTAGTACTGTAGGGTTTTAATCAAACATTTTCATATTTAAATGAGTCAGGTAAACGTGTTTAATAAATAATAGTAATAATAATAATTAATCAGGTAAACAATAACATATGCTATTGTTTGGTCTTAATCTTAATATTTAACTCTAAACAAATAATATTGTAGGATCTTATCTTATTTCTCTGTCTGTTGGTTTAAATGTGCAATATAAATAACGGTGAATTTAGAATAAAAATAAGACAATAAATGGTAAATACTGACCATTAGAATGCAGGTAGTTAACCCGTCTTTGTGCTATGCTAAGCTAACAGTCTCCTCCATCATTAATCTCATACCAATATCAAACAGATTAAAAACGGAGGCTCCTATTGGCCCACAGCTCAGTGAAACGCTCTCCGATTGGCCGCCTTACCGTCCGTGGTGGAGCGCGACTGGCTCTTGAGGCGGAGCGACGGCCTGAATCGCGTGCGGTCGTTGAAGCTCCAGCTCTTCTGAACTTTGGCGGGACTCGTGCCTTCGGTGCCGGCGTCGGCCACCGGGGAGCGCCGGTCGTTCACCGAGGACGACTGCCGGTTCTTGATGCTCTGACCGCGGGGGCTCGCCATCCTCACCCGCTCCTTAAAGCTCAACTTCTGGCTGCGAAGCGGTGGAGGAAGAGGGTGTGACATAACAGGCGAATAAATACGTGTTCCGGAAAAACAACAAGTTATTTCAGACTTTCGGCAGACTGTCGGTCCTTGATTCGATCTAACCATACAAGCAGCCATCATTCAGAACTCTGGGATCAAGGTTTTAAGGGGCTGCAGGACAACGTGGAGGACATGCACTGCAGCGCCACGCAAAATGCAACCTGTGGTTAGCTGCGATGCTTCAGCCGCGTCACGATGCTCGTAGGTTGTGCAAAGTACAATCAGCGTCGCTCTGTTGCGGCGGAAGGTTAAACCGCACTGAATGGTTTCTGATTTATCGCACATAACGAGTCATTAAAGTGTGAATTTGGGGTTGAAAATCAATTAAAATGACCCAAACGAGAGAGAACTTAGAGAGCCCATGTTATGCACATTTCGGGGTTTTAGGTCTACGAGAATGTGTTTGCATGCTTTAACGCTTTGTTTTTCTCAGATTGTACGTTTCTGGAGCGTCTTGGTGTAAAAAGCTTGTGTCCCTTTAAGCTCCGCCTCCTGAGAATCCAAGTCTGCTCTGATTGGTCAGCTGGTCCGACATAAGCCAAGTAACATTGGTCAGTAACGTCAGATCTCTCAGTATTATAGGGATTCTGACTGTGAGGCAGCTGTTTATTCTTTATTTGAGGCCCAAACTATCCTCTTGACGGTAATTATGTTAATTTGTTACACGATGATGTCGACAAGTACCAGAAGTAAAGCCTGGACTTTAAACGAGGTGTTTCTATCGGACAGACTTTGGTGTTTTTTGTAAGTTTGCGAATGTTTTACATGCACAAAAAGCAGTGAAATAAGAACACGCCGAAGGAGAGGGGGAACCCAAAAAGGCATAGCATGGGCTCTTTAAGGGATCGTCTGTTTTTATGCGGCTATATAACAAAATCAAGGCATGCAGAGGCGGTGCATAAGCGTCAGGCAAGTTCAAAGTGTCATCGCGTCCTGGGCTGAACATCTGTTTGGATTTATATTTTTATTACGATAAGCAAATCTAATGGGAAGAAAAACATTAGTCCGTCTCTGATTGTTCTCTCACTGTGGTTCAATAAAAACTAACACAACCGCAGCAGCAACCGGCTACATATCGGTTTGGTGGGGGACTATTTTCAGCTGCGGATGAACAAAAATGTCAAAATTACACCATTTATCAAAAACAGAAAATGTATTGTTGGATTTTAACCCTCATTATGGTTTCTGAATTAATCCTGTGTGAAAATAAACCAAATCTAAGCTTGAAATGTTTTTTTTCCTCCAAAAATACCCCCAAAATTAATAATTTTCAGTAACCAGGTGCTGTAAAAAAACTAAACAAAAATTCAACATCCACATGACAAATATTGAGAGACTTTTCAAATGAACTGCAGGCTGTATTTACACAGAGCTGGAAGGAAAATAAAATCAATAAAATAAAAGCAGCACGGCTCAAAAAACAGTGAACAGAGGAGCAAGTTGTTGGACGATACATTCAGCAGTAAAAAGGTTGTAGAAATGTAAATAGTTTAATATCTATTGTATGTAGAGCTGCTACTTTTCCCCCCCGATGTTGAACTTGTTGATTCGAGGTTTTTCAAATTATTGGTAAAATAAATAATTGTGGGGAAAATGAACTAAATCTGATCATAGTCACTTTATTCTCATTTAAAGATTTGACAAAAATCAGTTTGTAGGAACATTATCCTGTAAAAAAATAAAAATAAAAAAATAAATCAGATTTCAAATTTTGGCTGAACTGCAGGCAGTGTAATGTAAAAAAGGAAAGTAGTAAATTATCTTTGGTATGTAGAGGCACAATTCTCTGCAGCATCACTAACAACTGTGGGCTCGAAACATTTAACATGTTGATTCTGGGTTATTTACATTTCTGTAAAGGAAATTTAAAAATTAACTGTCATTTCTTTCTCTTTTTTAAAAAAATGATTTATTGCATTTTATCTGTGTCATATGGCAAAAACTCTTAAACTACTTGGGATTCAGAGGGTTAACACACACTTTGGTGCAGTGTTGAGTAAATGTTTGTGACAATGAAAGAATTACAGAAATAGTTTGCTGTTTTTTTCATGAGATTTCTTTGCAATAAGAAAGAAAAACTAGTAAAACAGAGTCTACCTGAGAGTGACACGAGGAGCAAAGTTTCTAGTTTAGATGCAAGAAATTAAAAAAATAAAATAATGAAGGCAAGAGATTTCCTGTGTCGCTGCATTCAAGGAAAAGCTGCTAATTGTTAGTTACTTGACAGCGTCAGAGTGAAACCTGGCACCGACTCTCATGATCTGACAGCTGAAAAACAAAAAAAACCACAACAGGCAGAAAGTAGCGCATCGCTCAGGCAAACATCAAAGACAGAAAGGCAGAAATATTGTGCTGCTGTGAAGTCTCCCTGCAGGATTTATCCGGCGCCGCTGCCTCCTACAGATACCCATGCACCAGGAATTAGTCAGCATTCCCAAAGAAAAGCCCAACAGGGGAGCAGAGGCGCTGTGTACCTATGTCTCCGAGTGGTACACCTCCTCAGTAGCTTCTGCTTATTACTATGAATTTTACTAAAAGAAAACCAAGAGGAGATAGACACACGGTGATGTGTTACATGATGCAGGAACAGAGGACTGAACAAGTCTGCGTGTTTCTGTGATTTGTGATGCAGATGTTTAATTCTTCGGCGGCAAAAACAACATTTCAGAAATCCACGATAAAGGACCAAACTTTTTTAACCCTTCACGTGTTTCTGCATAATTCCGGTTTAAGATCTTTTTAGCTCCCCGCTAGATGTTTTAACTGGTTGCAGATATCTCAAACTGGAATACAACAAGTCAAAATCTGATTTAAACTGGCTAAATGATGCTGAAGATATCTGTTGGGAAGCGGGAGGCAAAGGAATACGACAAAGCATTTTAATTAAAATTACAGATGTCACAGCTATATTTTGACTAGTCAGAATTTTTATTTATGAGATGAGAAGGTCCTTTTTAAATCCCACTGCAGGGACATTTTGCAAAAAAAAAAAACAGAACAGAAAACTTGAGGTGGAAATTTACGAGAACTTTGACCTCAAGCAGCTCGGACACGAAGGTAGAACCGACTGTCATCTGCAAACATAATTGCATTGAAACGCTAAAAACAGAAAGCATCGTTGAATTTTCTGTGTTTTCTTGGTCTTTCAACTGATCGTGTGCGAAAAAAATCATTCATCAAAAATAGATCTTTTCTACAAACCAGATTCTTTTTAAAAAAACGGAAAAAATCAGTTTTTTATTGCGACCAAAAAGCCGCGAGTGACTCGACTGCGACTAACAACAAATAATCCTGAGGGTTTTCAGATTAACTGCAGGCTGTGTAATAGAATAAAACAAATGCGTCACGGCTCATAAACGGTGAACAGAGGAGTGAGTTGTTGGTGGATGCATTTGGCGGGTGAAACTTCTTTCTATGGAGCTGATAAATGCGGCGTTGGCGAGCAAGCGGGTCTGTTTATACGGCAACTTATCACATGTTTACAAAAGACGACAGAAATAAAAGCACGTTAGAGAGTAGCGTTTCTTCTACAGATATCCATTTTGACGAGTCATGATTCCAGTTTCAGATCTCTACAACATCACTATGACCAGTTCGGACTTAATTTGAGAATCAAAAATGTGTTGCCGTAGTAGGACTGGTCCGAATAGCAATTTCTGTTCCCTGGATATTCGGCCCAGTTATTGACGAATATTCCGAATATTTGGGGTGCCGCGTAGTGGTGGTTGGTGAGTATTCGTTCTGCCGGGGTGGTGGGGGATGGGGTTGGGTGTGCACAGGGTTCGACGGGCTGGAGGTGGGCGAGATGAACAGGCAGCATTTGGCTACTACGACCAGTTTAGGTTACAGCCCTGCAGCGCCAGGAGGTGGAGGGCTGAGCATTTGGTCCGCCGGGGCAGAAGTGAGTGGGCATTTCCACCATCAGCAGCCACCGTACTGTATCCGCCATCAGCGTTGGTGGCAGGGGGGATATTCGGGGATCAGACTTGCTATCCCAATTCCAGCACAACGAATGAATAGTCGGCTGTTCGGGTCCAGCCCTATGCCGTAGAACATTTTCTTTTACCTCCCGTCCTGTCTGATCCTTCTCCTCTTTCTCGGTTTGTGCGAGTTTAATCCATCGTCACGTTTAAAGACCGTCGGCACAAAGTCAGTAGAGTCTGAAGGAACAGAGCCGAGTCACCGTCGGCGCTTCAATTTGTCGACCGCTGACATTTAGAAAGCAGCACGACGGAGGCAATTGAGCTTAAGTCGAGGGAAAATGAAACATCCACGGCGGCGTTTGAAAAAAAAGGGCTGCAATTTGGTGACTCACGCACTTCATGTCGATATCCCTCATTTAACTGTGTGAATTCAGCCGGGCCACGGCTGCAACAAGTGCGTGATTCAGCGGTGAGAGGCCGCCAACCTTTAGACGGACACTCGTGGGTTCACCGAGGGCTCCGAGGTGCTCATCCTTTTGTTTTGGTGTGTCATCAGCTGCGCCCTTTTCCCCCCATTCTACACTGTACCGCTGATGTATTACGTTGCAAATCCAGCTAATAAATAAAATAAGGCAGCTCCCGTTGGACTCCAGCTTTTAATCTCCTGCAGCGCTGCAGAGGGGATGTAAATAGAGTTTGGGGTTTTTTTTTCTTTGCAGAGCCTCCCTCGCTCTCAGAGATGCTACATGAATTCCCTTCTTGTGTGTTTCAATCTGCTTATTTTATTGACTTCTCCCCATTGTGCGGCTCCCTCTGCAATGCGGTAACGGTTCATATATGCCACCGGGCTGGAGGTGCTGGAGGTGGTGGTGGTGGTGGTGGTGGTGGGGAAACAACACGACTGCCTTCAGGTTGCCGTGGTGTTTCGCAGACAAACATTTGTTCGGTGTTTCATAACTGCGAGCAAAACACATTACATCACGCAGCCCCCACTGGCCTCTTCAAATCAGTCTGAAAATGCTAAAAGACCAACAAACCACCGGTGGAAACACATCAGAACAACGTTTCTGATGAGTGTGCAACAGACACCCGCAGCACGAGGACGCTGACAAAAAAAACAAATCACAGAAAAATCTGTATGTAGGTGTGCTTTTATTTAGTGACTCAGCGTGTGAATGTGTAGTTTTTGTTTGTTTTTTTGGAGGGAAAATGCGATTTAACAAAAAAAAAAGGCACCAAACAGAAAAATGAGTCACAGAGAGGGCTTGTGTAAAAGTGGCCGTTAGCGGGACAACATGGCGTCACCCACGGTCCAGACCCGCTCCGGCTAAGGCCACTGTGCTGCTGGAAGCTTTAAGATCCCGTTAGGTGCTGGCTAACGGGGTGGAGGTTTGTTTTTGGGGTTCATTTGTCTTCCAGCCTGAATTTCATGAAGCTTCGTGGAGCTTCAGCAAAGGAAGAAACCATTCAATGTATCATAGGATATATTAGGGTCTGAACCATTGCACGTGGCAACTAGGGATGCAAGTTTTCAACAAGTTTCCCAACAGGTAGTCGACCACGCTAACTGATTTATTGTTTTTTCATACGCTGATACAGCCACAATATCATGCCTATAAAATATATTCACCCCCCCCGGCCTGGAAGTTTTACCCTTTTGAATCATGGCTGCATGTCATGATGGTGCCACCACCGTGCCGGTCAATATAATTAGGTTGTTTTGATTTTTGATGTAGCATAAGTGCTCACCCCCTTCAAGCTAGCATTTAGTAGATGCACCTTTGGCTGCAGCTACATATATATATTTTATATTCTATTATATTGATATTATATATTTGCACAACTGTCAGGTTGTATGGGGATCATGAGCGAACAGCCCTTTTCAAGTCCAGGAACAAATTCTCAGTTGGATTGAGGTCTGGGCTCGGACTTCAAAACATTCACCTTGTTGTCGTTAAACCACTTCTGTGTAGCTTTGGCTTCGACTCATACACTGCATCCTCTAGGTTTTCATCCTCTACCTTTACAAGACTACCTTTACAAGACATCCCCCACATGATGATGCTGCCACCACCATGCCTCATGGTTGTGGACGGTGCATTTGCGATGCTGTGCTGTGTTGTGTCACTAGACCCGAGAACCTCCTACTACCTCGTACTATTCTAGGTGCCAGTGAAAGCCAAACAGCGGAGCTACAAACCTGGTAGTCGACTCTCCCTGCTCCTTCCTGGAGTGGACACATGAGAAAAAGAGAAACAACACGTATGAGAAAACATGTTTTCGTAACGTTTCGGTGTTGACACAGTGCTCAGACGACAGCAGTGGTGCTTTTGCATGTTGTAGCTCTTTTTATTTATGTCATATAATTTCTTTTAACTTCTATTATTGATGATTTGTTGTTCTTCCATCCCGGTGCACACTACAGCCACAGGGAGCTCTCACCAGTCACCGTTTGTGATTCAGTTTCCCTGAATCTCTACGACGGAGTCACAAAAGACACATTAACGGGAAATAAAGCAGGCTGACATAAAGCTGAGTTATCTTTAAACTGCTTAGTGATTACTACGGATGCCTGGAGCTTAAAAAAACAACTGATGGGCGAATATTTTGAGTTTCCATGATTTGCATTTGAGGAGCTAAAACATGCAAACGCACCAGAGCAGCTCTAAACATCAGCATGAAAGGCAGATTTCTGCATTGAGAGTTTTGCCAGCAGCTGCTTCTTCTACGGAGGATCTGAGGGCAGCAGCGCATCGATCGATAACGTGCATCTCGGGGGTGAAAACCTTAACGAAAAGCAGGCCGGCTACAAACATGCAGGTCCAGGCAGACTGTCGAGGCGAACTAAGGAAGCAGCAGAAGGAGATCCGTGGACTTAATCACCTTAAGGGAGCGTGTGTTCTGCGCTTTATTACTGCACTTAGGCTAATCACGACGGCGTAACTGTGCATTACAAGCGTTGCAGATGGCGGTCCCAATATTTCCAGGCTCCACGGAGGGTTTCTAAGTGAAGTCACCGTGATGTGTGAACAGAAAGAGAAGCTTACGGGGAGAAATATTCAACATCTAAAGCTTAATGTAGCTCCAGGTGCAAAATCAGAGAACGCTTTAGCATTCAGCAGATTATCGCACAAGTACAAAAAAAAACGTGGCTCGATTTCAGCAGAATTTAAGCGTCTGCACGTTTGGACGCAACAGCAGCAAGTTCACACATGTGCTAATCATGCTAAAGCTAACAAGAACTGTAGAAATGTTGTTTTGACGTTAAAAGTTTGTCAAACATCCAGCTTAGTTGTATAAACTCTTCATGTCAGTTTTCAGAAATCAAAAAGCACCAATTTACTGCTTATTGCCAATTTATGTTTTCTACTGTTGGTTAAAATAAATCAATAAAAATACACAATCAGGTGCTCCAGTGGTTAATTAGAGAAGTAAAATAAGGACTTTCCCAGTTTTTTATTAATGGAAAAAAATCCTGAAATTGGAGGAAAAAAATTTGAAATAACCTGGACAACATTTTACAAACGTCCACAGGCGTTACCAATACTGGATCAATATGTTGGCTCTCCACACTGTTGATATTTGACATTTTTAATTTTAAAGATAGCGTCCAGCTGAGCACGTCAGGCCTTCGTAGTTGTACCAAGGATTCCAAAATTTGTAGTTCTTGACCAAAATTTGCCACAAACAAATAATTTTTGGAGTGATTTTGGCCAAATGTCGAGGTTTAAACTTTAAATTTTGTTATTTTTTTCCAACGTAATGGCATGTGAAGGATGAGTAGTCTGAGAAAGTTCAAAATCGGATTATTTTTCTGTATTTACAGATTCTTGCTCTGATAAATTGTGTATTTTTGACCATTAAAAAAAAAAAAGATAACATGTCTTTCAAGCCCACGAGTGAGTTTTAAGGTTTAACATGTGGATAAACAACAAGAGTGTCGACTAAAGTTTAACTTTGTAAAATGAAACTATAGAATAAAGTTGATAATTCAGGAGGTAAGTAAGTAAGGAGATTAAAGTCTTACATGGACGGGTTGAAGAATGAAAATTAATTTTAGCAACAACAGGAATGTCGTTTAATCAAGAAATAGGCAGGATTCACTAAAATGCTGCTTTTTTTGTACAATAAGATCGTAACTAAGATCCATTTAAACACGCTCAGCGTCGATTGAAGCTCAGAAATGTTTGAATATGTGGCACTGATCCCCACACCTGTGTGTCCACCTCTCAGCGGTGTGTAATTAATAAACCCGTCCACAGCGATCTCTGCCGTCGTTTCTATCTGTTGATCAACCTGCCGCCAACATCGCAGAACCTCTGATAAACTCGCTGCACCTTGAAATCGCTTCGGGCCCGGCGGCCGCCCATTTTTGTGTGAATTCAAATGAGCTTGATTGGCTCGTTGAGGCCACGATTGGCATCACAAATAGAAACGCTGTGAAGGGCGAAACCTAAAATTACTCCCTCAAGCCTCTGCCCCGCCGAGCAGCCAAACACTCAGCGTGGAGAGACGAAAAGTTTGTTTATGGCAGAAAAGGAAAACTTCAACCCTGCTGCTGGGTTTAAAAGGGCTTCTTGTCTTTACGAAACCACCAAAACTGGGCCACTTGGTTGAGCTGGCGTCCCATGTTCAGGGGATGTAGTCCCCGACGAGGAGGTCATGAGTTCGAGTCCCGCTCATGACCCTGGTCTGCAGGTCCTTCCCCTACTTTCCTGTTTCTCTCTCAATTTCACTATCAAATAAAGGCACAAAGGCCAAAAAAAACCCATCAAAATATCAAAATTAGACAGTTTATCAGAGCCAGAGAGTCTAAAAACAGAGATTTGTTGAATTCAGACACTTTTTTGTCTTTTTTTTTCTCTTCAAATCACCAAAACTAAGCCGCTTGCACAAACCAGATTCTGTAAAAAACTAAAAACAAACAACCGTGAAGCCATCAGTGAGTCCGCTGCATAAAACATCATAAAACATCAGCGAGCTGTCGGTTGAACTGCAGGCAGGTGTTTATGCAGAGGAGGCAGGAAACAAGCAAATAGTAAAATATCTACAGCATGTAGCGTCTCCATTTGAATGTCGCAGATTTTTGCAAAACAAACAAAGAAATTAAACTTTAATTTAATCTTTAATTTTTAATTTAGGTTGTGCTGTTTCTGTGGAGGTGCAGGACTTTATGTTGAGGTAAAAAACGAGGCAAAGGGAGGAAAAGATGAAGCTTCGTCATACTTTCAGACTAACGGAGCCTGGAAATGATTGGTCCTTTTGATGGCTGTGAACCATTCCCTCATGAGAAAATCATAAAATCATTTGACAACAAAGCCACAATAAGACAGAGCAGGAGGAGGTCAATCATTTAAATAAAGATATATATATATATATAACGACTGGTGCATCATTGGAGTGTAGGAAAGGATGACTAGAGTGGCACAGACACCAAATACAGACACCAGCTGCCATAGTTGTACCTACTTTGTAGGGCTGCAGGTATGCAACGCCTTCAAGTGAGGCTTCCAGGTAGCAATGGAAACCGAGTTCTCATCAGCCGCATAACTACGCCAAACACACTGCATGCAGAATACACAAAACCAGGAGGAAGAAAAAAACAGGAGACCCAAACCCGCCAAAATAAAACAAAACAGAAACGGAAAGAAGAAAAAATAAAAACCCCCAAGGCCAAAGTGGGAGTGAGAGAAGAAGAGGAAGAAGAGGAGAACAGAAAAGAAAAGAAAAAAACAAATTAAAAGAGCTGATTAGTGCAAACAAAAAAACCAGGTGTGTCACAGGTCTGCTGCTGGCCGGAGGTCAGGCATGAATACATGCCTGTGGGGAGGCAGGAGGCTCTCATAGTGGCGCCACGTGGCGTCCAGGTCGGGCCTGGCGCTGTCGGTGGAGTAATAACGCCACGCGGCCTGGTGCAGCATGGGATGAGGAAGAGGAGGAGGAAGAGGAGGAGGAGGAGGAGGAGGAGGAGGAAGAGGAGGTGAGGAAGAGTGTGGAGAAATACAGGTGAGCCCCAAATGATTCAGGTATGAGTGAGTTTTACTGGACCAACAGGTTTCCTCCAGCGCAGTCACACAAACAATAAAATAATGTTAGCACTTATGATTTTTAGCGAGTTATTTTACAGACTTTTTAAAAAATTACAGCAAATATACACGAAAGAAGTTTTAGTTTACATGTTAAATGAAATGAAATGAAATGAAAAATACTTTATTTATCCCAGAAGGGAAATTCAATAATAAATATTATATAATAATTATTTAATATATATTATATTTAATAGTATATATTTAATATTAATATTAAATAATAAACATTTAAATTAAATAAATGTTAAAAAAAAAAAGTTTTACAATGTGTGACCATAAAATTTAATTGTTTTTAATTTATTTTATTCAGCAAAAATATCATTATTTTATAGATATCTGTCATTTGACAGTGAGGTTATTTATATTGTGAATGTGTTAATGTATGCATGTTGATTGTTTCACAGCTATTTTACAGACTTCACCTGTTTTGTTAAATTACACGTAATAACATAAAGTCTTAATTTAGACACTGACTGTAAGAAAAACAAACAAAAAACTGAATAATCTGAAATTTTAGAAATACGAATTGATTCTTTTACAATGTGCGACCATAAAATTTCATTGTTTTTGATGTATTTTATTCAGCAAAACAAAACATCATTATTTTACAGATATTTAACAGTAAGATTATTTATATTGTTAATTCATTAATATATGTGTGAACAAATGCCTGTTCATCCTTTAACTGCTATTTTACAGACTCTCTCGTTTAACTAAATTACAGATAATATCCAGCAAAAGTCACACAGAGAATAAATAATTTACACATTAACCACAAAAAAACACATAAAAACTGAGCCACAGCTGCACCACATACATCACATCAGGGTTCTTGCTACAATATTTCCCTGAAAAAACACGCTGTCTTGGCCGCTACGCTGTCTTTCAAGCTGTGTGTTTGGAAAATTTGACATATTTTACAGTGAAAACTTTCCTGAGAAACTCGTTTTTCTACAGTCGTCTTCGCTGCTAATGCTGCTATTCGTTAGCAGCAAAAATGCTAGCTTCTTAGCTAACGGCGGGAGTGTCGCTAACATCCCTAACACGATGTCCTACCCTATTTTGTTCCTTGTTAATGTCATTTCCAGCCAGTAAAAACCTGTTGGTCAAATAAAAAGTCACTATAAATCTAAATTGACTCGGGAATGAAGAACTTGGGGCTGAACTGTGAATGAGGAGGACAATGTGTGTGAAGATCAGGCAGAAGACAGGATGGAAGTGGCCAGAATATGTGTGCCAAACTGGTGTTTCTGCTAAAAACAAAGAACCTCCCAGAGATTAGAGATGTTCCTGCAGGGTGAAGGTGAGGAAGGTGGACATGATATCTGCTTTTTACTGAGTAGTTTGGGGGGTTCGGGAGAGTCCACGGAGGAGGAAGAGAAACTGGAGAAGTCATTTATGGATTTAATCACATGTCGTATTATGCAGAAACATTCGGCTTACGTAGACACTGTGGTGCATTGTTTTCCAATCGCTGCAGCAATTCATCATCGGCAATGATGTTTTAATTTTCCAGCTACAAAACAGTCGAGGGAAAGCAAACAGGCCTTACCTGGATGAGGTAGGCGGCTGGGTTCCGTCTTTTCTCAAAGTGCTTCTGTCGGTGCTGCTCCTGGACCTTCAGGGCGAATCCTGAGCCCAGAATACCCTGGTGGGAAATCAATCAGTATAAATACGCACAAACAAAAAGAAATACTGCATGTATTTGTGCAACAAAAACACTTGTGTATCACTCAACTGCTGAGAACAATTTGCCAACGAGAGCGGCCATTTTTTTTCTTACTTATAGCTTGTGACGATTAGCTTTGTGAGCAAGACATTAACATTAACATCATATAATTCAGTGATATCAGTCTTGCTCAGTGTGTAAATCAAATTGCTTCAGAAAGTACAGCTCTGATATGTTCCTGACGCACAGGACAAAGCGGTGACTTACTGCTGGTAAGGCGAAGAACGAGATTCCCAGGAGGGCGAACCCTGCAGACAGCATCCGTCCCGTCCACGTCTTTGGCGTCTTGTCTCCGTAGCCGATGGTTGTCAGGGTGATCTGTGAAAACAAATGATGTAATTTCAGATACTGAGTGATGCTTGTAAGGTCCTCAAACGATTGAAGTCAGATCTGACAGACAGAAGTTTCTTGGGGGAACATTCTATTCAACATGTTACTTGTGGAGTCCCTCAGGGCTCCACTTTGGGCCCACTCCCTTTTTCATCACATTTGCCAACAATTTTTAAGAAACACAAGATTCTTTTGCATTTCTTTTGTTGGCGAGATAAAAACATACTTACCCATTAAAATAAAACAGCCATAACAGGACTATACAAAAGATATTGATATGTAGATGGAATTAATCCTTCGTAGTCTCCAATGATAAATGACTGAAGATGTTTTGGATAACCTTGACGACAAACTTGGCTTCATACAGTTGATCTATTGTGAAAAGCTATTCTTCGACAGCTCCTTCACATAACAGAAAGATCAGCTCCGTGGTCAAAACTGGCTTTTGTTTTTTTTCACTTGAGACTTTGAGCCGAGTTGAAGGTCTGTCTGTTGCCCAAAGACTTGTAGTTTTTGGTATGTGGGCGTAAAGCCGGCGTCTCTTCAGCATCTACAGCTGCTACAACGCTTCCTGCTGCTTGTCTTCTCACGGAAAATAGAAAATACAATCACATAACGCCAGTGCTGACCTCCTTCTACTGGCTTACTGTCCGCTTCAGGGTTGATTTTAGGATATTATTGGTTGTTTTTAGAGTTTTAAGTTGGTTGAGCACGAAGGTCGACTGACCAAAAAACAAAAGCGATGGAGCCTTCGCAGTGGCTGCTCCTGATGGTTTAGTTTTTACGTAATCTGGTTGTTTTATTTTAGGTGAATTTTGATTTAAAAGCTCAGACTTAGTTGAATTTCCGGACAGAAGCATGTGTTTATTCATGATTCATGGTGATTAATTTGAGAACTGTTCAGTTTCTTCTACTGTCTGGATGATAAATGATATAACTTATTTAAAGATAACATGTCAGTAGTTCTGAAATATTTCTGAAATACGTTACTATTGCTGCATAGATCAGTTTTAATAAGAACAAATTGTGAAAAAAAATCTCCTTGGTGTGGTGTTTATGATCCTCCGTTGTTGTTTTAGCTTGTGTTTGTGTTTTAACAGCTCCTAAACATTTACCTAACTTATGTTTAAATCATTACTACTGTTTGCAAAAGCAAATATCACCCTGCAGGAGGATAAACACTTGCAAAGGGAATTTTACACCTTTAAAAATGGTCTATAAAGCACCAGTAAATGATTTATTAAGCATCAAAAAGCCATTGGTTAATCGTTATTTAGGCTTACAGTGGATTCCGTGTTCACAAAGGGGGGTTTCAATGTTATTTTTTCTTGGCTTTGAGTCATAAAAACAGCTTCTGTTTGCAGTTTGGGTGAACTGGTCCTTTAAAAGTGGGTTCATTTAGGTTCAGCAGCAGAAGGAAAAGCACTTCACAGCCCGTCTGAGGAAGAGAATCCGTCTGTATTTGTGTGAACAAGATCAGCATCAAATGTCTTCTGGCTGCTCTTTTATATTTACTTGGTTTGTTGTTTTGTTTTCCACAGTGAAGCGCGGTTTAAAGACGATGCATTCAGGCGCCGCGATCATGCGATTGAACCTGCGTGGAGGCTTTATGGGAGTAAATCTGCGCGGCCTTGAATTCAAGCAGAGTGTTGAAAGCCTGCAGTCGAAATGTTCGTTCTGCCTCAGAAGGATAAAAAAATAAAAAAGTTACTGAAGCAAACACTGAGTAGAAGGAAAACAGCTGCTTGCTAGATTCACTGAAGTGTAAAATGTGTTCTGAACATAATTTAATGAAGAAGTTTTGCCTGATATTTAACTTTTTTTTTTTAGATTAATTAACTTACTTGCTTAATAAATGAAAGAAATAACTCATGGAATGTATTTTCACAAAAAATTTATAGCGTTTTATTTTCTTTTTTCCCCATAATAAAAACATTAAGCACATCTGTTGGTCCAACTTAATGCAGTTGTGTTGATTCGACTCATTTCTTTTGGGTTTGGAAGATTGGCTTCACAGCAGCAGCAGCAGCTCGGAAACTTGACTGAACTTAAGTATAAAAATAAAATAAAAAGTTCACCCTTAATTGGCCTTTTTAAGGAGAAATCTCATCATGTTTTTGTAATTCTTGACTGTTGTAAGGTTTAATATCTCATATTTATTTTACCTTCTTATTCTCTTTTGTCCTGTTTTAATATTTCACACTGTTTTGTTCTCTTTTACAAATTAATCGGCTTTTGCACTTATTTTTGCTGCCGGCTAAGTGTTGATTTGTGTCAACATCAGCTTGTTTTAGACGTGGTTTGTAAGTAAACTGGATTTCCGAGGGTTGGGTCTGACTCAACTTAATCAGGTTGGTCAACTCATTTTATATAATTTAAAATGAAATCAGAAAATTTGAGTTAATTGAACCAAAGTAAATTAAAGAAAGCTGTTCGATTTGGTGGAAATACTGAAATAATTATGTTCCGAGTACATTAAGTGTGTTATTGTTGTATTTCATGTCCTTTAAAGGCGATCCGTGAAACATTTTTCCACCTCTGACTGACTGAAGACAAAACGTCTGGATGAAAGTCAAATGATTTTTTTAATAAAAGCAGAGTTAATTGTGTTAATGACTCATTGTGATGCTGCTTAGCACATAAAAAAAAAACCTGAATAAACCCATTCACGTCTTCGGTAAAAGCCTGAAAAAAGAACATTTGATGCAGCAGCAGCGCATTCACTGTTTAATGACACAAGCGTGGCTGCGAACTGGACTCGCAGAACTCTTGGGTTCTTTGTACAGGTCTCCATCCATCCACCTCTGATTTGGCAGGCTGATTATCTTTCATTCAGGCTCTGATTGCCACCGCCACAAAGGCCATTTCTGCACCATTATGAATTTGAAAATGGTGTTTAATGGAGCCACGCGGGGGCTAATGTTTATGGAGGAGCTGTCGGCGCTCAGAGAGGAGAAAATAACAGCAAGGACTCGTTCAGGTGCAGATACGAAGCTAAAAAAAAATCAAAGAAGTGAAAGTCTGCTGTTGCCCGAGAAGCTGAAGCGAACACTGAGGAGATACATCGACTCCAGATATCCAGATAGACTGTCTGGTAGCGGTCAGACTCACCGTTCCCCACCACAAGGCGTCGGCGTAGGTCGCAAACTCCTTGTTGAACTTGTTCTCCACAAGGTAGACGAGGAACGACGAGAAGATCAGGACCAGGAAGCCGATGTACCAGGCGGTTACCAGCTCCTGAGAAACAGACGTTCACAGTTAGACGGAGACATTACAGCACAGGTGCACTGGAGTTCTTTGTACTCAAGTCAGATTTATATATCGTAAAAAAAAATAGAGATAAAGGTCAGAGCAGCAGCAACATGCACAGACACTTCAGAACAACCTAAACCTGCTTTTCTTTTCTTTTAGATCCAAACAATATCATCAATAACACAATGGGGTTCGTTAGGGTCTTTTGTGTCTAGGTGTGGATGTGGGTTCATCTTCCTGGGGAGAGATCTGAGGACTGAATTGTGAACAGGTGATAGGTGATGCCTCAGACCTCCACCTCTGGTGAGGGATGGTCTTTCCCGGTAGATGGCTTCTTTCACCCCTCTCTCAAACCACCTGGGGTGAAAGAAGCCATCTGTGTCAAACTGGAAAGATCTCTCCCCAGGAAGATGAAACCACATCCACACCTAGCCACAAAAGATCCTAACGAACCCCATTTAGGCAGGGGGAGCGCTAATGAGCAACAAACCCCCAATTGAAAACTAAACTCAGGTGTTAATGGCTCCTTAAGGATATCAGTATCTGGAACTCCCAACTAGTCAGTCAGAGCTGATGAGGCCTCTTGGATGAGTGGTGGAACGTCTTCAAGGAACTCAAGCAAGTCCAGCTGCTACAATTAAACCATGAGAACAACCACGACCTGGATGACTGAGAATCTTCACAAACAACTTCTAGTCTCCATCAGTTACGGTTCAAACCGGTTTGCTAGGTTCAAAAGAGTCTCACGAGGAGTTCTAATGTCAGATTTACCCGAGTTGAGGGTTAATTATGTTGACGTGAGCTTGTTGTTGTTGTAAATATCGCAGTAGATCTTGTTCAATGAACTGTGAGAAGCCAAAATGTCGTTGAATATTCCATTAATTGTGCAGCCCTGACTGTCTTCATGCACTCATATACCTGAAACATGTGAACACAGTGGACTCAAAATATTGTTTTTCTTTTGATCGGATTATAATCCATAAAATGATGCTAGCTAGTCGCACACAGAGAAGCCTCTAGTCTCCATCAGGTACTGCAGCAGCTCGAGGCCACAGATTACCAACAAAACGGTGAATTTAGTTGTTTTAATGTCAGATTTATTCAGCTGAAACCGAGTAAATTTACCAACACAGTTTGTTTTCTAGCATTTAAAACGTCAATATCAGAGTGGATGGTAGTCGTTTGGCTAAAATCATCTTTTGTATTCTATTGATTCTGAAGCTCTCGGTGCAGCTCGCTGCCTGTTTTTTTCATAACGAAGGCCGCTGTGGATTCTCTGTACAAGCTGTTCAATGATTCAAACCGTTCCTAAATAATACATTCATCTGAGCGTATATTAGATCGTTACTACATGATTCTGCACCAGAACCTCTCCAGAAAAACCTTCCTGTCCAGAACCTCAGCGGGAGGTCAGCGAGTCGACAAAAGGCCTTTAAAACCTCGTCTGCACCACATTCAGACCTTTCCAGGATTATTCAGTCCGCAGCTTCGATAGAATTCAGTTCTACTCCCATTCAGCGGCCGATTCACGGACTCGTCTCGGGGCGTAGCGAGGTCGGGACCGAACCACGTTAACATGAGAGAGAATCCGGCGAGAGTGGGAAGAAGAAGAAGAAGAAGAAACCTCTGGCAGACAGCGTAAAGAGAAGCAGCAGATCTGATGGGAGGTCAGTCTGGGAGCAGCCCAGTGAGAAAAGCTGCAAACCACACGAATCCAATTTTAATATTTTCTTCTAAAGCAAAAGTGTTTGATTAAAACATTTCACTGTGAACAGCGACTTTGAACACTGATCAGATCTCCTCCGAGCAGTTTCTCAGCGTTCTCTTTTGTTTTTGTCGTCACAGTTTTCCCTCAAGAAACACATTCAGTCAGATTTGCATTTTCTCTGCACAACTGCTAAAGCTGAATCCCGAACAAAGTCAATTTACTGACGTGTTGTTGGTCATTTTCAGCCTGATGGCGTATAAATAACATCTAACTACTGTGGAAGTCTATGGGAGCTAAACAACGTAGAATGGCACGCGAAATGACCTTTAAGCTAACGTAATATTTATACACCACCTCATGACTGCACTGTGGACTCATTCTTCACTGCAAAGACGCACCTTTTTAATCAGGCTTTTAATTGACCTTTTAAATTCTTTATTTATTTTTTATCTTATGTATTTTACTCTTTTAATTTTCATCTTATCTCACATCGGGCCTTTTATACTTTAAAGTTTTTAGTTTTTAGCTCCAGTGTTTCCTTAGGGGGGTCCTCCACACTGTCCGGTCTGCTGCTGGGGGTTCTGTCTGCGGGTCCCTTCGACCCGGCTGGTTGGGGGGCTCCCAACCTCGATGTGGGGGTCTCCTTGTCTGTCGGGGTTGGGGGGTTCTGGTTTCTTTGACAGTGTTTTTAAATGCTGTAATTTTTTAAAATCCTGTAAATCACTTTGCGTTGCTCTGGTGTGTGAGAAGTCCTATATAAATAAAGTTTAATTTGATTTGACGGAGAGAGAACTCAGAAATGACGCAGTTATGAAGCCATAAATAATTTTTAAAAAAAAGATGAATTTCTTTAATTTTATTGCATTACAGTAATAAAATAACAAAAACTGGACTCAACATGTCCGATGCTTTGAAGCGCCCACAGGCGACTCTGCACCCTGTTGATATTTTACGATTTACATTTTACTTTGTTTCGTCTAATATTTGTGTGAACACGACCTGCAGTTCAGCCCAAAACTCAAGAAGTGAGTCAAGAACCTGGTTACTTTTAAAAAATGGTTTATTTTTGGCAATTTTTTAAATGAGACACTGAGAATTAAGTAGTTTAAGTGATCAAAAAAACATGTTTGCTGCTGATATTTTACTGTTTGCATTCTACAGACTCTTTTTCTCCAGAAACATGTTCCACCATCAGCTGAATGCATCGTCCAACAACGTGCTGCTCTGTTCACTGTTTCTGAGTCGTGCTGCGTTTATTTTATTGATCCAGTCGGTTTCATTCTGCTCTCAGCCTCTCCTCTGATCTCCTCTCTGCTTTGTGTGAACACTGCCTGCAGTTCAGCCCAACGGTCGTTGAATTTTTTCGTCGGTCGTAGTCGAGTCGATCGTGGTTTTCCGGTTGCGCTGAGAAATGCAGAATTTTTTTTAGTTTTTTAAAGAATCTGGTTCGAGCACATGCTTTGTTTTAATGCAATTTTGAAAAAAATATAATAAATAAACATGTAGAATAGAGCGATTTTGGTTCAAGCTCCTGCACTCTTGAGGCTAAACTGAGCCGTCAGCAGGTCGCAGTGAAACCTGAAGACGGATTTACCTTCACTCCCACTGCAGCAGAGCCACGGATCAGACGGTAAATTACAGGCTTTCAACAGCCACACAAATGGCACCGTATGTAAATTCAATTTCAATTTCAATTAAATTCTATTCGTGCGGCGCTACTTCACGACATGTGTCATCTCAGAGCACTTAGCGTGGACGAGAAGGTAAAGGAGACTTTATGAGGAGCACATTTCACATTTTATTCTGCAAACATCTGCTGCTGCTGCTTCCACTTATTTTTAAAGCTGAAGTTTTTCTGCTCAGTTTATGAACTTATTTATATTAAATGCTTATTTTTTTTATTCATATCTGACATTGTGACTTGTTATTCTCCTGTTTTCTTTTATTTTAGCACATTTTTTAATGTTCTACTGTAAATAATAAACTAACAGAATGTCTTTATTTACTGGATCTATTTCCTAAAACTACACATGTACATATAAATGCACCTTGTGTGTCATTTTCTTTTTGAGCTACTGCAACATCCAGAAGAATTACACGACTGCTTTTCTAGTTTTCTCTTGTACAGATATTTTTTTAATACTTGCACGTCTCCTACTGTTTCTCTAAAAGTGTGATTTTGTGAATCACTGCCAGGATTAATGAAGTCACTCTATAATTCTGTTCAGACTTTGTTTGACTTGTGCTCAGATGAATATTTCACGTCGCCTTTTTCGCTTTACTTACAACTTAACTAATACTTTGTGCATCTTTTATTTATCCACTGAAGCTCCACGTTTACCTACGACTGCACCGTGCGTGCACATTTCTTATTATTGCACGACTTTAAATCTTCCAGAAGACTTACTCGAATGTTTTTCTAGTTCTTAAAGCACCAGATAATCTATTTAAAACGTTAGACACACTTGGATGTTTGTGTCTGGACAGGATTGTGGCTTCATTTCTTTGTGCAGTTCTCTTGTTTGAACTCTGCGTAAATGTCGTCTTTTTGCGTTAACGCCGTTTAAAGATGCTCACAGATCTCCTCCTGCAGCTGATGAACTGTGTAACCGTGCCGCCCACCTTGCTGTGCGCGTACACGACGGATCCCAGCAGCTTCCAGGTTCCTCCTCTCCGGTCCATCCGCACCATCCGGAGGATCTGCAGGAAGCGGAGGCTGCGCAGCACCGACGTGGCGAAGATGTTTCCCTGACTGCCGGCCGACACCACGGCGACGGAGGCGATCAGAACGATGATGTCTGGAGGGAAGAGAGACGAGAAGACACGATAACGCAACCACAGAAAGAGATGAAATGATTGTTTATGACTCAAAATCCTTCGACAGGAAGGAGCCATGAAACCTGAAAAATGAACTACGATGTGTTTTAGTTTAAACAGTAATGAGTCGACTCGTCTTTTTAGCTCAAAATCTACGAGTTTCTTGAAAACAACAACTTACTGTTATTTTACAGATTTTCCTGTTTTGTGAATTTACAGACAATATGCTAAAAATGCTAAAATCGCAGAAAAAAAGTGTTAATTTACACATTTACCATGAAAATCACAACATTCAAAACTGTCCAGATCATTGTTTATAACTGTATTATATGTTTGCTTGTTTCCTCTCTTTATGTGGTTCTCAAATGAACTTCCTGTTTAAATAAAGGTTAATCAGAACTAATATTCTAAAAATCTACATTTTTTTAAAGTGGTGAATTGAAAATAAAAATGGTCATAAAGTAGCACTAATTTTACTAAAATATTGTTATTTTACAAATATTTGTTGTTTTTAAATGGAAATATACATATATTAAGTAATGAATGTATAAAATGGTGAATTATTTTGCGGATTTTCCAAGTTTAGCTAATTACAGATAATAATCACGAAAATGATTTTTTTTTAAAAACTATTAAAAAATATTGATTTACTGTAAAAACAGGCCACTAGTACAAAAAAATCTGTATTTTTTTACATAAACTAATTTGTTCTTTTACCGTGCTGCTGACCGTAGATGAGGTTTTTCACAGTTTTTAACTTATTTTCATTATTTTTTTTATTGCTATTTCAGGCCTCGTCCACACGTAGCAGGTATCTCACAAAACCAGACCGGGACGCACTGCCAGCTGGTGGGAGAACTTTCAGATGGAGGAATGGCGTCACGATTTCCGTACGTCCCGGTCGTCGTTCCTGTCGTTGGAGTTTTTTTTTTTGTTTTTCCCCCATTAGCTGAGTCAACAGCGGCGTCCTAGTCGTGCTGACAGAGTTTTTAGTTTTATACAGAATCTTTTCAAAGCTTCATTTGTGGCAAATTTTTAAACAAGACATGTAGAAAAAGTGATTTAGAAGAAATTTCTCAGTTTTCTGCTCAGACTGGGTTCATGTTTGTGATGCTAAACGTTGCTGGATTGTCATTTTTTTCAGTATTTACACTTTCTGGCTCAGATAAATGGTGGAATTTTGGCGATTTTGTAAAAAACAAACCAAAAAAAAAGCCGTTCAAAGTTGGGATTTGGGGAAATAAATACTTGAGCGGGAAGTGAGGCGGCGTGCTGCAGCTGAGGAAACATCAGCCGAGTCGAGGCGGCGGAAATAGGTCGCACATGTTTACGCACGTGAGCGCGACAACAAAACAAACGCCGCGGTCACTCCCGCGTCGACCTAAAGGCACGTAAATCCTATTAATGCTGATTTAAACGTGAATCGGTCCTCTGAACACACGGAGGCCTTCGGGTCGGATCACGACGAAGCCTCCACATGACTGGAAACGACGGCCACGGGCGTCAACACGCCTCGGCCTGTACGTCCGTCTGAGTGACTCGGCCGGCGTATCGATCTTCTGCGTGCACAAACACGCCAGCGGGGGAAAAGCAACTGGCCGTTTTCATCTGAACAGCAGAGATCCATTCAGACCAACTTGTGCGAGCTACAGAAAACCTCCAGTAACGAGCTCAAGAGGAGACTTTTCTTCTCCTCCGTCGGTCCACGTGAACCTTCTACCCTTCAGTGATGTGATTCAGGAGCTTCGCCTCGTATAGAGTCGGCCCTCGTGCTGCTGCTGCTGCACACTTTTTCTTCTCCGAGTGGAATCGCTGAGCGAGGTGCGTCCGGCTGATCCACACGGAGCAGAAGGAAGAGGTCTAAAAGGTCAACGGCAGCGCCATGAAAAATACATTAATGGAGGGAACCGGCGGAGCTGCAGAGACTTTGAAGGTGCAGGAGGGAAAACGTGAGGCGGAGGAGGAACGTGTGGTCGCTAGAAAAAAAGAAATAAATCACAAAGAATCATCAGAATCAGTCCCACGTCACCCACAATGCAACTGTCTCCTCCTCAAACCGCAGTCAGGACGTATTCATGGGATTTATTTTCTGAGTGAAATCATCGACTGTGTAGAAACAAATGGAAAACATAATAAAATATACAACAAAACATCACAGATTTGGTGGTTTCTGTCTACGGCTGGGTGCTCTGATGAATCTCTCAGCAAAGTTTTAGTTTTTTATTTTGCTTTTTTAATCCTCAGAACCCAACAGAGGAGTTGAAGAAATATATATTTACATAATAAAACTCAAATTAAGCAGTTTATTCTGTTAAATAGAAAAGAAATAACTGTGAACTTACAGTAAATTAAACTGTTAAAAAATATATATATATTCTTTAAAACATGGAAACTATACGCAGGGTTTTGATGTTATTTTACAGTAGACGTCACAATTCTATGGTTTTGTCCTTTTTTTTAAATTCAAACATATAGAAAAATTCTGCACACAGATATTATAATGCTTAAAAACTTAATTTTGACAGATAATAAACTCCAATAGATGCCACACTTTTTCTTGTATCTAATTTTAGAAATATATTTATTGTATTAAACTT